ACCGCTCCGCCCCCGCCAGGCCCTTGAGCCGCTGGAGGAGCCAGGAGTAATTCATCTTTGCCTGGCCCGGGTTGGGATTTGTCCGGCTGGCTCTGATGCCAACGAGGAAGGCGTGCGGATAACGAAGTAAGTGTCCCCCCGCCCCTAGGCGCTGGTCAGTCCGGGAGAGGGCTCGGGCCCACCCTGGTCGACTGCTCCGCCGCAGCGGAACCCCTCGGGGCCCGCGTCCTCCTCCTGGCACTGCGCAGTTCCAGTCTGAGAGCAGCTCCGCTTCGCTGTCGGCCGAAGAGTTGGTTTGCCCAGCTCTCCACGGACAGCCCGCGACGGAAATTGGCTTCAGAGCTGGCGTGGGCTTCTTTGAAAAGAATTGCTCCCCTCCCGCCCCCCCTCCCCCCAGCAGGGCCAGCTCCAGGGGAAGAGGCAGGCCCGGTGTGGTTCCCAGACGCCGTCGAAGGCTCGGATGCTGGCCGTCAGTGCAGAGCTTTCCCCGCGCCCAGGGGTGGAGGGAAAACGCCGCACAACTTTCCCGGTGCTCTCTTAAGCGGCAGGCTGAGTGTCCGGGCTTTCAGGCCGGGGAGCCTGGGCACGGATAATGGGGGCGGCCCCGGTCGAGAGCTGGAGTTCCGCGGCCCGCGTGCTGCACCGGCCGGGGTGGCCGGGCCCAGGCGGTGCGGGGCGAGCCTCCGGGAAGCAAGTCCTGATCTGGGTGGAAAGCCTGCACAGCAGAAACCTCCGTGTGCAGAGAGAGAAATCGAGAAATGTTATCATTAAGCGTGTGGGCCGTGAAGAGCAAGGAGGAGAAGGAACTGACCAGACACACAGAGAAAGGGGGGCAAAGATGGGAAGGAGAAAAACCCCCGGCAAGGTCCCGCACCGCGTGGAAAGATCCGTGGATTCTTGAAAATAACAAATCTCAATGTGACCATGAGAGACAGGCGACCTTTGACTAAGTGACAATAAAAAAAGAGAGAGAGTGGGAGAAGGGGAAAGTCGAAGCAGATTTCCGACAAAAACATCAGTGAGAAGCGAACTAAGAGGTAAAAGCGCCCCTCAAATGTGAACTTTAGGTTATGAGCACTGAACAACTTTCTCCCAGCGCGCAAAAATACGTTTTGGATCAAAGTATTAAAAAAGAAAAGGACAAACGTAATTAACCCAACTCTTGAATGTGATTTTGTTTCAAAAAATGTTTAGAAATAAACCATTTGAGGCATACAAAACGAAACCAAACAAAAAATTTTGAATCATCATCAGATTTATTTATTTAATGTTTCAAAAGGTAGGAAATGTTAGCGGAAGATTAAAGATGTTATTTAAAATATCTCTTCTTGTTGAAATTAAACCTGCTGGAAATAATTGCTTACTTCAGCTGAGTAAGGTCCATACAAAAATTGTGCATTAAAAAGCAGATGTAATTTGAAACAGAGAAGGCCTTTAAAGGGGCCAAAACTAAAGGGGGGCGAAAATCCCACACCAGGCATACGTCGCAAAACTTCCTAGAATTCCCGCTTTTTAAATCGAAGAAATGTGTAAAATGTATCACCAAACATAAATCTACACACATCCCACATACATTTCTGCTAATGTCATCGTATTTGACATTTCCCTCTCTGTTAAATGCAGTTTTAAGCATTTTAGGCTTTTTGCCCAAAATGATAGATGCTTTTCACTATTGAAAGCGGAGAAGAAAATCAATGAATTTTAAAAGGTGCAGAATCTAAAAACAAACTAGCCACAATGCACATTTAATTGTACTTAATTGTATATACTTTAAACAGCCCTTCCCAGGGGTTTAATAATTTAGAATCAATAGTTCCCTTCAAAACATAATAAAATATTTACACTTTATAAAATATTAACCGATTAACAATACGGCGGTGTTGTTTATAAAAGATTGTAACTAACTGAAGTCCCCTAATCATGCTGTTGACACAAGCCTTCGAGGTTAGAGAAATGATCCTTAGCCAAATGTAAATGAAGATCTTCAGACAGTGGTGTTTATAAAATAGCTCATTAATGACAGGATTGAATCGCTCCAACCCTTCGCATCATCAGATATAATAATAGTGACGAATCAGACAGGAAAGATCTTGGCTAAACCACTCGCATTTTTTTTTCCAGAAGTCCTGAAGTCCTAATATCATCAATTCTAAGTTCGTGGACATTGATCCGGAGGATTCCACCTTTCCACACCAAGGTAAGGAAGGGAACAGAATCGTTGTCGTTAAGCTATTGGCAAGGAGTAGCCTTTCCTCATCCTGAAAACGGGCTACATTTGACAGCGGTGGTTGGTTTTTGCAACACCCCCGCTACAAATTAAAAAAAAAAAAAAAGTTTGTGGATCAAACTTACAGTTTGTTTCTTTGCTGCCAAAACCTTTTAGCTACCGCCACAGGTTGCTTTGCTCGAGCCACTGGGCTCTCGCCGACTTGAGCTCTCCCCGAACCGCGCGTTTGCTCTAACCGGTGGGACGGGGGTGGGGGAATGGGCGAGGACGGGGTTTGGGGAAGAAAAACAGGAAAAAGGAAAGCGGTGCCTAAAACTCCCGGGGCTGTCCCCCCACCCCCGCCCCACCGAGGTTTACGGTCCCGGTGGCGTCCTTTCTCCGCCAAGGCTCCGACCGCCTCCCGAGTCGCGTCGGGCTCCTTTGGAACTTGGTGGGCGGCGCCTGGGTGCGGGGTTCGCTGGGATCTGGGCGCCCGGAGTTAGGCCGGGGGCAGCTTTGGTTTCTGGGACCCCTGCTCTTCCAGAGGCTGAGCCTCCGATGCAGTGTGCACGCAGCCCCTGGAGCAGGGAGTGGGGGGCGCGGCTGGTGGACAGCGGCCTAGTTCCAGGCAAGATCGGCGGACGCCGCTTTCCGCTGTCCCTGTATCGGGCCGGGATTTCCAGACTTGCCCCGGAGCGCGTTTCCCGAAATCGAACTTAGTTTGGCCCTCTGGCGCCGCCGTACAGTGAACGCTTCTTAAGGGGGACTGGAGGCTTAGGCAGCGAGCTGTGGGCAGAGTCCTTGGGGTCCAAAGGATTAGGAGGGAGAACCCGAGTGTGTGGGAGCGACAGTAGGCGCAGCCAGCCGAGGGGCCTGATCCGGCCCGGAGGCCGGGGGGGACGAGTCCATAGGTTCTCGCTTAGGGTCCTGGCGAGTGTCCGCTGGTGCCCCAGGCGACTTGCGGGGGCTGCGGCCCCTGCCCACGTGCTTTTCCTTAAGGAGGCCCCGATCCCAAGTGGGACCACGGGGACAAAAGCGCGGCCGGAGCCTGGCCTGCTGGGCTAGTGTCCGCGCCACCTTAAATGAGCACCGCGGCCGGAGCCGGGCTGCGGGCGGCCGTGGCCGCGGGAGTCGGCAAAAGTTTGCGGCTCTGTTACGCCTTCGTGGGACCTGCTGGGGAAGCTCCCGCGCGGCCTCCCCCAGGGCGTGGAGGCCGGGTCCTCACGCCACAGCTCTGCTAGCGCCCGGAGCCCAGGGCTCCGAGCGGCGCGGGGCTCCGGGGAGCCGCAGCCCCGCAGCCCGAGGACAGGCAGCCCTACCGCCCTGGCCGCCACACCGCGTCACGGCCTCCAGGCGGCCTGAGCTGCGCAACTAGCGATGTCGCCGGCGCCGCGAGCGCTCCAGCAGTGCCATCCGGCCACGCCGCCCGCCCGCGCGGCCCCCTCTCCCGTGCCACCCGTGGCTCGGAGGGCCGCGCCTCTGTCCTCCGGGACACCCGGGCTATTGTTCCGGACCGGTGGCCCGCGGGCCGGCTCGGAGGGAGGCACGGCCTGCCCCGCGCGCGCGGTGGCGCGGAGCGCCGCGGGCCCCGACCGTCGGCTCCGCGCGGAGGGGGAGCTCACAGGCACCGGGAAAAGTTGCTCCGAGGGGCGGAGGCGGTGGGGGGTGGGCGGAGGCGGTGGGTGGGGGAGGCGGTCGCCCTCCTATCTCCAAAGTCGAAAGTACTCGGTGCAGTTACCAGCGCCCGGAGCCCTGGCGAGCCGCGGCCGCCTCCTGCGCGTCGGTCTGCGCCTGTCGGGAGACGCGGCACCAGGCGCCCGCCTGGGAGCCACCGCCTCCGCGCCGGGACCCGTGCGCCCGGGGGTTGGGCGAGGCGGCCGCGCCCTGGACCCGCCACCAGGAGGAGGACCGGAGCCGGCCCCGGCGCCGCCCGCGCCCGGGCGCACCCACCCGCGGCCGCCGCCTCGCGCCGCGCTCCGTCCCCTGCCCGCGCTCTGCCGCCGTCGCCGCCGCCGCCCCGCGCGCTCGGTCCTCGCCACCCGCTCCCGCCCGCCGACCCTCCCCGGCCTCCCGCGCCCTGCTCGCCGCCTCCCTCCCGCCGCGCCGGTCCCTCTGCCTCCTCAGCAGCCCCGCCGCCGTTGGGTCGCCGCGCTCGCAGCGATTGATTGATTGATGTTTAATTTCCTGCCAGGCGGGGCCCCCCTCCCCCCGCAACCTCCCCAGCCCTCCTCCCCGCCCCCCACTCCCCTCCTTCCCTGCGGTGGACCAGTCTGGCTCGGGCTTAGATCCGTCCCCCCTATTCCCATCCCGAAATAACCCAGAGACTTCCCCTACCCTCACCCCAAATTATTATTTTGAAGGCGCTAGATCTGGGGACGGGAAGGGGGAGGGGGGAAATCGGAAACCGAGGACAACCCAAAAGGACTCACTTTGCCTGATGACTCAACGCAACTAATAATCATCTCCCTCTCAGTGTCTCTCTGCGGCTTGTCAGGGAGTCCGGCTCTGGCTGCTGGCAGCGGCGGCCGCGCGGGGAGACGCTGGAGGTGACAGCTTGGGCGGTCGCTGCGCTTGCTCCCGCGCGCGGCCCCGGGTCCCCGCGCCGCCTCGGCTCCGGCCGCGCCTCCTCGCGAGCCAGAAGCCCTGGAGCCGGGAGCCGCCGCCGCCGGCCGGTCCTCAGCCCTTTCTCTCCAGCACGGGTCTCCTTCCCGAAGGTGTGAAAAGGCTCTTTCAGCCTCCTTCCCCCTCTGCGTCCCCTCCCCCGCTCGCTCGGTGCCCCTTCGGAGGAGCCCTCCTTTCCCTCTCCTCCTCCTCCTCCTCCTCCTCCCCCCCCCTACCCCGCCCCCCCATCATCATCATAACAAGCATCTCCGCAAGAGAGGAAGACACCCTGACCCAGGACCTTAAACGTTAGGACCTGGGGAGGCGGAGAGGGGCCGCGGGGAAGAGAAAGGAGGACCAGGGGAGTCTGCACAGCCCAGCACCAGAAACTTTCCATCCTGGATTCTCTACTTTTGCTCCATGGACAGAGCCCCAGCCAGCCAAGTTTCAGGCAGACCGTGAGCAGTAAGTACGCAGGGCGAGGGCTCCCGTGCCGCGCTCGCTCGTCCTCGGGGAAGCCCCCCCTGGGCTGCGGGGGTACCCCCGCGGCCGCGCTCGCGCTCCGGGACGGCGAGGAGCGCAGTGCGGGGGCCGCCCGCGCCCACGGCCCTCCCGCGCCGTCGCCGCGCCGCCGCATCCTTGCTCTCGCCTCCCCTTTGCCACCCCCACCTTGTCTCCCAGGCGCGGGCGGCGCGGCGAGAGCGCCCGCGGGGACTCGCAGCGCACGGCCGCGCGGCGCTCCTGCCTCCCGCGGGCGGCGGCCACGACGCGAGCGCCGCTTCCTCAGGTGTCTCCCCTCCTTCCTCGGCGCCCCCTACCCGGCCCTGCAAATTCAGGGCCACCGAGACCCGCGGCTTCGGCGCAGAGCGCGCTGCCGAGCCGGGCTACCTGGAGGAAAACTTTCCAAGGCGATTCTAAATTTGGGGGTGAAGAAGGCTACCTCGGGCACCTCGGAATTTAGCTGCCTTTTGCTCGTGCGTTTTCTACGGAGGAGCTTTTAAAAGGCCCTTGGGATCCGATGGAGATAAGAACGCTCCCAGTGATAACGACGCGAGCCCCCGCCCCAGTGATGGAAGGTCCTCCGGAGGTGGTTATGCGCAATACCTCGGAGTGTTTTGGGGTGCTTCTGAATGTGGACTTAGAGTTGATTTTGTGCAAAATGTGTGTGTGTGCAAGTGTGCGCGCGCGCGTGTCCCAGTACTTGCTCCGCAAAGGTAACAAGCTGGGATCCAGGGGTCCTTCTCCTCGGCCTTTGGCTCCCGCCGGGCGTCTTCGGGCGCGTTTCTCAGGTGGCCGACTGGGTGACGGACTACTGCACACACCCCAGGCTCCCTCCCCGAGTGCACGCAGTGTCCGTTTCGGAGGTTCTCCTCTTCCACAACCCCGACCCCCAGACGGCAATGCGGGCGCATCCCGGAACGGTTTCTGCCGACGCTGTCCCAATGAATGGGCGGCTTCTGGGCGGCCTCGGGAGCCACAGGGCTCAGCCCGTGGGAGCAGCGCCTGGGCGGCGCGCCCCTGCACCCCGAGCCCCGGGCTTCCTGCGGGCGGCCCGGCGTCGAGGTGCAGATGAACTCCCCGGTTTGGGCCCCTCGGGCAGCGTGGGAGGAAGTTTGCGTGGCTGCGGTGCCGCGCTCTGCCACTGGCCTGAGCGTCTATCACGTGTGTGAGCGGTTTTCCCTCTTTTTTTTCTCCTCCCTCCCCCTGCTCTCCCCCCCCCCGCCCCCTCCCTAGGTCCCTGCGCGTTTTATTGCGACCTGCCGGTGGGAACTTTGTCTCCGAGTCGCAGCAGCATGGAGCGGCGGAGCGAAAGCCCGTGTCTGCGGGACAGCCCCGACCGGCGGAGCGGCAGCCCCGACGTCAAGGGGCCTCCCCCGGTGAAGGTGGCCCGGCTGGAGCAGAACGGCAGCCCCATGGGAGCCCGCGGGAGGCCCAACGGCGCCGTGGCCAAGGCCGTGGGAGGTAACAGCCCGGAGCAGGGAGGCGCGCGCAGCCCGCGGCCCGGTGATAATGGTGCGGGTGTCAGGGTTCAGGTTGATTAGGCGCTGTCTCGGTGTAGGATTACAGGAAGTCCAGTCCAGGTTGCCAAATAATGCCCCCAGTCGCCTCTCATCTGCCACTGGTAGCTTCATCGCGAATTAAAACAAGAAAGTGGTTTACCCAGAGGGTGGCATTTTTTGGGCACTTTGCCACTGTGTGCTGAGGTGTTGGCAGGTTTATGTCACAGCCAGCTAACTGTTTCTAGATTTTCCTAGAGAGCTTTTGAGCGATTTAACTCTTTTGCCTCGCCTTAGCGTATCGGTGGCGGGGAAGAGGTGAAGGTGCCCTGGTTTTTGTGGAATGGTCCTTAATGCTCAGCCTAGCGCAGGAACAAGACCCTTGGTGTTACTTTGTTGGTAGGACAATGCTTCAAGACAGATGAGTGACAACTGGGAATGCTTCCTGCAACGTTTCCAGTGGGAAATAAAGAATCATGAGGAATCTTATCAGGCCCTTAGAAACCTTAATGCTGCATGCATTTGTAACTTTGTTATGAATTACAGGACAGGAGGTGAAAGTAACAGAGTAGCCTGCCTAGCTCCATGCCATTTCCCCTCCTACGAATTTCTTTTGTTGCTTTCGCTGCTTACACTATTTCCTTTTTAAGTGTTTAAGGAAAGTAATCTTGTAACATAGACATTTAAACAGTAAAATATGTGGGAGTTTGCATGTTGTTTTCTTCGTTGTCTTTTACATATAAAATTGCACGATTCTACATGGTAGCCAGGGTTGTATGTGTATGTGTGTGTGTGCGCTTGTGGTAAATCAAAAGTTGAAAACTGTTTTACACTGAAGGCATTTTCTTTCATATTTCCAACAGTAGTTTATTTAACATAATTCTTCATACTAGCCTGCCTGAAAAGATAGTCTTAGCAAAACTTGGTGATAAGCCCCCAACCCCGTGTTCTAAGTGTCTGCTGTGTGTACTTTAAAGTAAATACTTAACTTTAGATGCCCATTCCCTTTTGAAGAGCTAGAAGCAAGTATTTTACAAAATGATACTCTTTGGTTTGTTTTTACTTATTTCGCTTTCTCGTTTCTTCGTGGTGTTGGGTATGGTTGGCCTGAATTCTCTATGGTAGTCATCTCCCTTGAGAAGTTTTCACCCTGCCAACTTTTCAAGTTTTAAACAAAATGTTTGGCCATAGATTGTGGAGGACTTGAAAATATAGTTAATGAAGTAAAAGGAAACTGGATAGTTATGTGACCTGCTTTTCAGAAGCAGGGTTTATTAATGTGTTGTCCTGAGACTGGAATAATAACTTTGAGCTTTTCAAGTGATCCTTTGCATTTAAGAAGTGTCATGAATATGTTGGGACCACATGTGAGATGATAAGTGCTGATAATGTTTGATTGAAACATCTCTGGAAACCCTTGGAGACAATGTGTTCTCAAAACACATTTTTTAAGAGTAAAGAAAAAAAAACTTGGACTAAAATTTCAGTCTGTTTCTGAAGCCCTAAGATGATTCACTAAGTTACAAGAAATCTCTAAATGTTGTAGAGCGTCTTGTTGTTTTTGCTTTTATCTGTATCATGTGGAATTATAAGAGAGGATGCCTCCTTCTGTTGGCTAGGGATACCTTTAGTGGAAAATAGTGATTGCTTTTCAGATTTTCTGAGACCATAATTCTAAGGTGACCACTTAATATAAATTTGATACAAACTAAAACTATTTTCATGAAGGATAAATAGCTTTGTTTCAACAAGCTGCCTTAGTCATCTTCTCTGAGGTTTAACTTAATTTAGTAATACCAAAGGTCTCTGTAGCTGTTTCCCAAACTGAAAAGGAAGATGATATTTTCATATGTACCATTTATAATATTTAATAGTGAAGCGGTTAAAACAGCTTATATGTGGTGGATTTTTCATTTTTTTAAGAAAGCTTTTATTCTCTATAGCATATTGGATTGTTCAGAAAGACTAATTTAGAGAACTTCAAAATATAACAACTTAGCATATAAAATTTCAGTAGTACAGAGCTTTCTTACTGAATGTTAGTAATTATTTTGTGGGTTTAAGCTTATATAGCTTCCAAATGTACATGTTAATAATTTCATTTCTTTGTAACTTTTAATCATGCATATAGATTGGAGCAAAGCCAAGTCCCTTAAAAAAAGTACATTCTAAATTTTTAAAAATGTCTAAAATATATTTCTAGTTAGAGGCAGTTTAAAATTGAAAGATTTTTTGGAACATAAGATAAATATATAATCAATTATATTTGTACCACCCTAAGTCCTTTTGTTTAAATTTTCTTTATAAAGCAATGTAATAAGCATAGGTAACTACAAAGATATTTATAGTTCTACATCATTTATTGTCACTTTTGGATATATTGCAGTCTTGTTAATGTTGTAAAGATGGGTATAATAAAATATGAGTGTGTTTTTAAATAGAGCTTAAAATTTGGAAGTATGTATTTTTTAAACTTTAGTGTTCCTCTTTGTTAAAGGCTCTCCACCCCAGAAATAAGGGAAATCATTAAGCAAATTGGTTGCCCAATAAAATAGCAATTTATCTTACTGCTTTTGATAAGCTGTGAAGTAAGTACATGTTTCTGAATGCATTAATTGGCAATAGTAAATTCTGATGCTTTGACTTTTTTAGGGAGAAGGAGTGTGGTGTGTTTTTTGTTGTTGTTGTTGAGAACTAAGTATTCATAAATGGAGGGGCATCATTTTAGTGTCTGGATTTAACTAGTGAGGTGGTGGATACACTATCACTATTTTCATGATTGTGTTTTAATAGGGGACTTAAAAGTTAGTGCATTGTTTATAATGTGATTAGCTTTGAAGACTTATTGGAAACTAGATGAGTTTTGCTCTGTCTTTCTAACACTTTCTAGGATGTTTTTGCTTGTCTTTAAGCACTTGTGTTTTAAAGCCTATGTGTAATAAAATACAAGTGCTCAGATGTGTATGATAGTCAGTTTTTATAGAAGGTCCTCAAGAAAAAAAAAAGGCTAATATCTCTTTAAAACACATATGAAGGCTGGCTGGGAGAGAGCTTAGAGCAAGCAAGAGCACCGTGGTGTTGACAGCTTTATATCCCTGCTGGGTAACATTCACTTACTAGAATTGGCGTCCCCTCTCAGCTAGTAATTCACTCCATAAGTATTTGGAAAAAGGATGATTAATGGTGGGGAAATTTATATTTGTGAAATTGTTGATTAAAACTTACAGATCTGTTTGAAGATTTAGAAGAAGAAGAGATTATTAAGGATGTCGAAAATAAGACTCAGATGATCCTTTTTGCCACCATTAGCACAAGCTGTATGGAGTGCTTCAGCCATGCACCCTACAGCATAAAATGAAAGTGATGCCAATCAAGTTTCCAGAGGAAGCAGGGTGTGCTGCTTTCCTCCTGGCCTGCTGAAAGGTGTGGGCCAGTTGTGCTTTAATGGCAATAAATTATTGTGCTTCCTTCATTGTTAACACAGGCATTTTCGCTTTTTAGTGTTTGGCTTAAAGGAGAACTTTCAGACAGCTTTATTTAAACTGAATGAACAGCGCTTGAGTATACCAGATGGTGTATTTGCTGATAGGAGGCATTAAACATCAGAAATTTTTATGAGATTTTCATTTTCCGAGGATTATTTTGTGATCTTTTTGGTGTTAAATATTCTAGATTTTATGGAAAAATGTTTAAACTTTGGGAATATCTTTTAGAAGCTACAAGGGGGCTTCAAAAAGTTCATGGAAAATATATATTATGAAAAATCTGTGCATGAATTTCACAAAATTTTTGTACCCAAATGAACTTATTTTTAATTCCATTTTTTTTCTCATGAACTTTTTGAAGTACCCTCTGGTTGCTTTTTCTGAAAAAAAAATTTCTTATTTTAAAATTATTTATGTTTTAGAAATAGCAATTTAATTTTATCGAGGAACTGTCTACTGAAATGATCTTATAACTAACTGCTCCATCCAAAGTAGATCTATTCTTCTTGCTACCAGGCAGTCCTTCCAAGAACATAACTATCTTTTTGCAAGGGGGAGAAAAAAAAAACATTATGGAGTACTCAATGATGTATTCAAATAGGGAAGCAAACGTGATGAAGATTATTAGGCAGGGCCTCACTGAGAGCTGAGGGTTGTCTACAACAACAGTTAGTTTAATTGTCTACATGTGGGACGTTTACTTTTAGATTAAGAGTAGAAGAAACATAGTTCAGATCAGGTGTAGTCACCATATTCACAGTAGTAGAGAGACATTTTGCATTTTGAAAGGAGTGCAGATATGGAAGATGTTTGTGTATGGAAATGTATGAAGTACTTAGAAATTTAGAAATGTATCTTAAAACATGAGGAAAAAGAATGAATGAAACTCGATTTCCTGGGATGAATACCATAATCCATCTAAGAAGGACCTAGAATAAGACTGCAAAGAGAAAAGTTTGCATTTCCCTTTCCTGTCCTCATTTTCTTTTCAAAAGGTTGGAAGGTCTTTTAAATTGAGTGAACTTAGGCGTAGGGGTCATCCAACAATCAAGCGTGTCCTCTGTAGTTTTGCTGAGGTAGAAAAATAGCCCTTCTCTAAAGTGTTTTTAGCCCTCGGCCTGTTATTAAAATAAAGATATACTTGGTTAAAAAAATATATGCAATGGAACATACACATTAAACAGAACATAGGGTATCCGCCCCTCGAAGTCCTGAACATAATTTGATGTTTCATGTAATTTTGGAAGCCTTATGTTCCATCAACAGAAACCCACTGACCATTATATATTCAAGAGCATCTGCAGTGAAATGTGAGTGTGAGTGTGTTGGAACTACATAGATGTCCCTTAAGGCAGCTGTTTTTTAACCCCTGCAGAAAATAAGCAATACCATCCTTTCCCTAGGGATTGTGACTTTCTTAGCTATTGTGTCAGTTCTTCTTTCCTTTTTTTTTCTTTTGAGTATCGTTTTCCCATTTATT